GGGGGTGACTGGCTGGTGTCACATCACATTCCCGTCAGCGAGGCCTGAAATGTTAATGTTACCCGGAGACACTGGATTGCTGGCTGTTTTGGCCTGAGCCCAGCCTGTGTTTTGTGCACATAACCCGCTCCTTGGGCTCTCTGAGAGGTTGTAAATTCACCGGCTGTTTACTTCACTGTCCAAACAGCAGCCGAGTGTCCGTGCTGCTTTATTTATAGAAATCCAGAGAGAGAAGTGCCCCCTGGGACATTTAAGATGTTAACAAATGTGCTACAAAAACATCCTGACCGTCAGCATTCATGATTTGGACTCATATACACATACACACTGACATACATGTATTATACATGAACCTGCTTATTGAGGTTGTCTCGGCCGAGTTGTGGTTGTGGTAAAAGCCTCATCTGGCTCCGGAGACCCAGTGGGACTATGAATCACCCAGTGCTGACCCATCACGAAGATTAATAGGGAGCAGTAATTCTCACTTGCTCTTCTGGTTACTGCTGGCTTGTAAATACTGGAGGCGATGAGGGAAAATGTTAGAATGAGTTCATGAGTATTAGGACAATGCTCATTTGATTTGCTGACCGTCAGCTTTGCTTTAGGGTGTTTCCAGTTGCATCACATGAACAGTGTAGCACTTGTAGCCCTTTTTATACATAGTCTGAGCTTAAAGTTACTATGAGGACCTTGTAACTGGTTGTAAAACAGTCCAAGTTCAAAACGGATGCCTCTATATAACCTACATAAGTAAACTAGACCATCAGCGAGAAGATTGTCCATTTCTATCTATTCATTCTTAATGCTTATCGTAATGGTTACCCCTAATAACACCTCCCTAAGTAAACACTGTTCTGCTCTATTGGCACAGTTGCTGTTTGCACCGTTTTGTGCTGTTAGCACAGCTTCTAGCCACTGGCTCAGCCGTCGCCATGTTGAGAGCTGTGTGGAGGCAATCCTTCAATCATATCAATCAATATCTTTTGAGGGTTTCTTGCAATTCCAGTCAATGATACATTTTATCACAATTCATTCACAAGCTGTTAATGGTAAATCGAAATGTTGAAAACATGGCCACTTTGGCTAAATATCTTCAGTCTGGGAGCAGTCTAATTGCCAATGGCCAGTATTCATAGTGCAGAATTGAATTAGATGCACTTAAAGGAGCTCTAAACGGAATTCAAAGCAAATCAGGGGGATTGCTTCCACACGGCTCTCAACACGGTGATGGCTGAGCCGCTGGCTAGTGGCCAACAGTGCGAACAGCACGAACAGTGCAAACTGCAACAGTGCTAACAGTGTTTGCCTTGGGGGGAAACGGGGGGTGGGCGCTACACTTCCGCATATTATGAGGTAGTGTAGTCGGTGGACCCAAACGCACACTGACACAGCAGGTTTACTCCAGCCAAAGACTTTATTTTAATTATGCAGGAGGAGACAAAGAATAAACAAAAACAAAGGCAACTGTCCAGCGGATAAAAGTCACTCCCTTTTCTCCACCGGAGTCGGGAGGGAAGCTCAACCGATGATGACCGGGACAGGTAGCCTCCGGAGACGGGAGGGAAACTCGACCGTACTCTCACCTGGAAAAGGTCTGGAGGGACAGGACGGCGCGACTGTGTGGAGGCCCGAGGTCCGACACAGCAAAACAAAAGGCACAGGTGATCTTCCAGGGAATCGACGCTGAGCGGCAATGGAGCAGAAGACAAACAGGTTACGATCTTCACTGAATCGGTGTTCAGACTCACGTGGACTGAGACCAGACTGGTAACTGGACGGACTGACGACGCGCCGGGGAAACGCCGAGGTATTTAAGCCAGCTGGCGGCGATCACCGGCATGAGCCACAGCTGAGCCTAAGGAGAGAGGCGTGGTAGTGGGCGGAACACGGGGGTGGAAACTGTAGGCTGACACAAAAACAAACCATAAGCACATGGCCCACAATAACAAAACAGACGGGAAAAAAACAGAGGAGCACACACTAGGAGCAGACAGGGATCCTAACACCGCACCGTCGGTTGGGACAAAGTTGTTAGTGGTAACCGCCGTGTGGGTGCAGTGTGGAGCGGCGGCCATTAGCTAGCCGATAGCTATGGAAACAAAGCACATGATTACAGTGCACATTATTCCACTACATCTTTACATAGCAACGAGTTGCTTGTTGCTATATTAACACTCTGAATACTGTACAAAGAACCTTTAAAGATAAACTCAATCCAACTGTTTGTCTTCATTTTCATTTGTTTCTTCTAGCTTCTCTGTCTGTTTCCATTAAAACACAGCCCTAGAGCACCATGGGAGGCGTGGCGGCAGACGTGGGTGCAGAGGGGGGGAAGGCCCCAGACGGCGGGTGGGGCTGGGCGGTGCTGTCCGGCTGTTTTGTCATCACAGGTTTCTCCTACGCTTTCCCAAAAGCGGTCAGTGTGTTTTTCAAAGAGCTGATCAGGGAGTTTGGGGTGGGATACAGCGACACGGCCTGGATCTCCTCCATACTGCTGGCCATGCTCTACGGCACAGGTGAGCTGCCGCTTGCTTTGCTTTGCTCTGACAGAAAATCAAAATACAGTTTCAGACAAAGCTGAGACTTTGTGAAATGTAACATTTCTGTTGATAGTAAAGGTATAGCAAGACATTTTTGGAAATACTACATATTAACCATACAGATATGAGAGTGTTATAGATCTTTTCGACTGTCATTCCACTTGTGTATCAAGATTTTTGTACTCCTATATACTGATTAATAGTATTTTATTATTTTTGTATATGATTAAACTAAATACTATTAACTGTAAAAATCGTTCTTGTTTTCTCTTCCTTTTCTTTTTTTTACGAAGCCCAAATATTTTCAGCTTTATTGCCCCAAATTGTCAGAAACAAACTAGAAAACAAAATCTAAATACGTGTCCAGTAGCTCTGTAACTTAAGTGGGTATAGCCGAAACTTAAAAGTTAAATGTGAATTTTGTCCTTGCAGGGACTGTCCTCTCACTTGTATGTACTGTACATTACGTTTCCCCTTTTTCTGACTCTGTTCTCATAGAAATTGCACTTAAAGGAGACCTATCATGCTCGTTTCCAGGTTCGTCCTTGTATTTAGGGTTTCTACTAGAACATGTTTACATGCTTTAATGTTCAAAAAGCACTTTATTTATCACATACGGTCTGCCTAAATTCACCAGTATTCATCCTCTGTCTGAAACGCTCAATTTTAGTGTCCGTCTCTTTAAATCTCTCTCCTGAAAAAAAGCTTTTTAAAAGGCACAGTTTCCGAATACGGGCTGTGTGCATTTCTTCGTGGATTGAGCGTCTTGATACCCAGTATTCATACAGCACCTAGAACCTGCTTTATAATCAAAAGAGACATGGAAATCTCACTTTCTACAATATAGATCCTTTAAAGGCACAGTCGAATTTCTTTGGTAAATATGCATGTTTACCGTTTCTCCCAGAGTCAGATGAAAAGATCAATTTTCACAGCTTTTTTAAATCTCCAAATCTGTCTTATTTTCCTGCTGTATCACACACTTATAGAAGAACCAGACAACACAGACACACACAGCTCGTCTGATTGCATTCCACTTTATCCAGGTCCTCTGTGCAGTGTCCTGGTCAACCGCTTCGGCTGTCGTCCAGTGATGATGGTGGGCGGCCTCTTTGCCTCGCTGGGAATGATCCTGGCCTCCTTTTCCACCAGCATCATCCACATCTACCTCTCTACTGGGGTCATCACAGGTCTGACTGTCTACCGAAAGTTTGTGTCGTAAACTCTGACTTCCCCTAACCAAGATGAATGAACAAACCTTAGTCCTTGCAAGCGTGTACAGTATTTTGGTATGTGACAAATATATGTGGATACATTCTTTTAAAGCCTCTCATAAGAATTTGAGGGTGTTGTTTTCCTTTAAAAATAGCAATCAAGGCATATCACACTGCCGTATATAAATCCATTAGAAGCAGACCCTCTTGAACTTACAAATCCCAGTTTTGGCACCAAAACAATGGATCTGGGGGTGTTAGAAGGTTAAATGTATGTTTGAATAAGGAAAGTCAAAGAATATAAGAAGCTTTCCTTCTTTTGCTGCAGGTTTGGGGTTAGCCCTGAACTTCCAACCATCTCTCATTATGCTCAACCGCTACTTCAGTGAGAAGCGTCCTCTGGCCAATGGGCTATCGGCGGCAGGAAGCCCTGTGGCCCTGTGCTGCCTCTCGCCACTGGGCCAGGTCCTCCAGGACCAGTACGGATGGAGGGGGGGCTTCCTCATATTGGGTGGCATTCTACTCAACTGTTGCGTGTGTGGGGCCCTAATGAGGCCTCTGGTCGCCCCCAAGGCGCTCAAGTCCAAGGACCAGGAACAAGACAACGAGGAAGGAACAGAGAAGAAGAAGAAGCCAAACGCCAAGCTGCTGGACTTCTCTGTGTTCAAAGACACCGGATTTCTTATCTACACTGTGGCTGCGTCCATCATGGTTCTGGGGTTGTTTGTGCCTCCGGTGTTCGTCGTGAGCTATGCCAAGGAGCTGGGGAATGAGGACACCAAATCGGCTCTGCTACTCACCATCCTGGGCTTCATTGACATTTTTGCACGGCCCACGTGCGGCGTAATTGCCGGACTGAAATGGGTACGGCCTCATTGCGTCTACCTCCTCAGCTTCGCTATGCTCTTCAATGGAATCACTGACCTGGTCGGATCACAGGTGAGTGATCGCTTGCTCGTTATGGATCTGGAAAGTCCACAAACGGGTTGCTCTTCCTTCACAATGCATTTCACATGTGTTACCAGGCCAAGGACTACGCATCGCTGGTGGTCTTCTGCATCTTCTTCGGCATCTCATACGGTATGGTGGGTGCCCTGCAGTTTGAGGTTCTCATGACAATAGTTGGCACTGAGAAGTTCTCCAGTGCCATCGGCCTGGTCCTGCTCATGGAGGCCATTGCTGTGCTGGTGGGGCCGCCTGGTGCAGGTCAGTCAGCACAAAGACATAATTCATTTTAAAGGTTTTTGCTGATAGTAGGTTCCACTCTTATTAGAAATAATGGTGCTAACTAGAACCATAAGAACCAAAGGTGGTTATATTTCCTGTAGTTAGGTTAACCCACAGACTGTATATAAAAGTGGATTTAGTCAACGTTACGTCACCCCGTTGGTTTGTGCACTTCAGTTTTGAAGCCTCAAATTTGGCATTTTGACCCACGCCATCTTGTTTTTTGGAACCAGAAGTCAACATATTTAAGAGGGATGAGCGAGGTAACAGCTAACGCTACCTAGTTAGCTTGGCTAACAAGGTGCATCTGTTAGTTACTTTAACTGTGATATAAATGGGTGCTAATTTTTTCTTGTGAAAAAAAAGCTAAACACAAAATGTGCACACTGGAAAAAGATGAGCAGCCGACTGTTTGGAGTGTCTTTTTGAACAAACCGAACACTAAATGATGCTATGATAGCAATGCCGTGGTAGCGACAACCATATCACGCAAAGCGACCACGCCCTTAGTTATGCAATACTTTAAGCCTTAGTATATAAAAATGTACACCATGTACATTTTGTCATGAGCGGTGAAATTAGCTATAGAGACCACAACTGTTTTTTGGCTGTAAATGTGTCTTTCTGCTGTTAAGTTGGGCATTTCAACATAGGGGTCTATGTGAATTGACCAAGCGGCAACCTCCGGTTCTGACAAGTGAAACTGATGTGGGTGTCTTAAAACTTCTATTCTCTCTACTGTGGAGGCTGAATTCTTCCCCACAGAGAGAAGGCCGCGGATACAGGCTCCACTGCTGTTCAACAGTAGAGTTGCTTCCTAATAAATCTACCATAAACTGGTTTACAATCAAAAGTATTTAATCCTATTGAAACTATTACAATTACAATGTGAAGTACACTATTAACAGAATATATGATAATATGATCCGCGCGGAAAAGCAATCACTCGCGTCTCAGCCTGAAAACACAGCTGTTTCCACCTTGAGACCAGAGAGAGAAGAGAGTGAATTCCTTTCCAGCACTCCCGCTTACAGTTTGAAATCCCCTCCTCTTTTGTCCATCTTAATTCCTATCGGCTAATTTCGACAGCCTCCTCCTGGCTTCAGGCTGCCGAATACCCTCGCGTCGGGTACAACCTGCAAATGTCTGTCTATAAGTCTGACTTTCCCATGGCTATTCTTTACAGTTTAATACATTCAATGACTGTCTTTTATGGTTTAACACTTCTATGATAAACATTGGATTCTATATAAAGATAAGGATTTGCAACTTTTGGCAAAACCTCACAAGTTTCACAAGCATAGATCTAAGGTGCTACAAATTCTACTAAGATACACTTCTAACTACAAATTCTAAAACACTTCTACAATTATGAATCTTCTAATTATGTATTCCAAAACACTTCTAATTATGATTTCTTAATTATGAATTATTAAACACTTCGATTATAATTTCTTAAAGCACAGTTCTAAACCCAAATTTCCTACACTACTGACCAGCAGGGGGCAAAACAAGTCAGATTTTATAGAATGGCCCTACTTCTCATTTGATTTATTACATCAGTAAACATTGTAAACTTGAGTTTATGGTCTCAATCTCCAGTTTCAAGTCTTCTTCAATACAGCGTAATGTTGATTTCGTAAATTATGGTCTCCTTTAGAGTAAAATAGACCATAAAGCAGGGTATGCTTTAGGGCGGGGCTACATTGTGATTGACAGGTCTCTGCCATTCCAATTATGGTAACTTCCATTCATTGGTTGCAAAAAAAACAACATGGTGATGGCCGTAATCCAAGATGGCGACAGACAAACTCAAGGCTTTAAAACGGCAGTCCACAAACCAATGGTTGACGTCACAATTACTATGTCCATGTCTTATATCTTATATCTATACGTCTATCTATGGGATTGATTAACTTTTGGAGCCAGCCTCATGTGGCCATTTGAGGAACTGCAGTTTTTGGCACTTCCATGTTGGCTTCATTTTTCAGACCTGGAGGTTGCCGCTTTATACGTTCACCCAAAAGCTCTGTCTGTATCTACAGTATTGGATTGTTCAAACATATACTCACACCAAACCAAAAATCTAGTCAATAGCCATATGTTCCTTGTTCCTCTCTCCTGTTATTATTAGATACAGATAGTGCATTTCTGCTATACTTGGACAGACTTGGTGTGACAAATCCACTGTAAGTACTGCGGGTTGTATGATGTTTATACAGAAGGAGTATGTAAACTAGCATCTTTTTCTATTACATCCTCTCATCTGTTTCCCTGTTTCTCCGCCAGGCCGCCTTCTTGATGCCACCAAGGACTACATGTGGGTCTTCCTGCTGGCAGGAAGCGAGGTGGTCCTCTCAGCCCTGGTTCTGGCCACTTGTAACTTCCTGTTCATCAGAAACAAGTCCTCAGCTTCGGCGGACAAGCTTGAGTGCATCACAGTGAGGGACGATGCCAAGACAGAGGTTTGTGGCAAGCCTGCGGAGATGGATGAGGAAGAGGAGAAGGGAGCAAGAGAGCAAGAGAAGGAGACAAAGGAGGAGGTGATAAAGGAGGAGGAGGAGGAGACAGACAAAGAGACAGTAGAGGAGGTCAGGCCAAAGAGTGTAACAGTGGACTCACAGGAAGTGGAAAGGTTCTTAAAAGAGCCACAACAAAATGGCGACATGGCCACTAGTCCTGAAACATCCATGTGATTAGAGATGAGATTATAGTCTATGTTCATGCCTTTTATTGAAAAACAACAACAGGATGAAGTGAACTTTGAAGTGTTATAATGACACTATTGGATAGTTGTGCATTCCTCGAAATCAGTGTCTGGCGGGGGGCTGATTGGTGTTACTGCCTTATGAAATAGTAAATGTTACGTCAGCAATATTTTATCACTAGATATTTCATAGAATAACACAGTTTTAGCACTGCCTTGTTTATGTCAATCGTTTTATTTTGATGTCGCCACCAGCAAATAATGTCAAGGGGTGATTTTGACGATGTTCTATGTTCGTGTCAGTAAATCCCATGAAAATCACATAATTTAACTATAGAGGTTTTACCTGTAGGTGGTGAAATAAATATTTTGTGCATTGTCCCTGTAAAATATAAAAACATTAAAAATAAAATAACAATCAATTTATCCTACACTCTTAGAAATAAAGGTGCTAACTAGAACTATGTATTGTTCTTTGTTTTTTCCCGATTGGACAAAACAAAGAAACTTTTTGTTTTTTGGTAGAACCATTTATAAATGTTCAATCTTAATCTCTTTCAAAGGGTTCTACCTAGTTCCAAATGTAAAAGGTTATACCTAGAAACATCTGTGAAAGGTGCCACCCAAATCCTCCTATAAGAGGTTCTAGAGAGAATGTGTATCTGGTTTATTGGTTCCACCAAGAATCTTCTCTGAAAGTTCTGTCCAGAACCCACATAGCTGGTACTTCCGAAACCATTTTATATTCCATTGGATTGATCTAGGAATCGCCTAGGGTTCCTCATGAGACCTCTTAAAGGGTCAGGGCTGATGTTGTTGCAGCGCAATCCACAACAATCACGGTTCACAGTCACAGCTTTTGGGGGGGGTGTTGGATGGGAGGATCTTTTAACAGAAACGCTCTCAACAACCATTGAAGACCTCTTTCTTCCAAAAGGGGTTCTTTGGATGAAAAGGGTTCTTAATGAAACCCTTAGTCTCACAAAGAACTCTTGAAAAAACACCAAAAAGGGTTCTCCAGAATGAATCAGCCCTTCAGGAACAACTCTTTTGGAACTCTTACGAAAACGGTTCTCTTGACGTCAAATTAAAAAGTACAGTTTAAAAAGTTGCGCTAAACCGCTAGTGGCATAGCGTGACTAGCGGGCTAACCACTAACTCAGCCAGGAACATGCTAGCACTGGTCAGTCACAGTCACGTGTGAGCTAGTTTGCGTTCTTGCTAACTATCGATTAGCAAATGCCTCAGTCTAACATGCAGTTGGTTTTGGTGTTTTCATTGGATTTGTTGACAATTTAAAAAAACGAGAGATCTATCATCCTAACCCTTTAAAAATGAAAGACTGCTTTTATGCTTAGAATGTGTAATACAGAGTCAGGACAGCTTAGTTGTGTAAGTAGGAACAGCTTTCTATTTATGCTTAAAAGGGTAAATGTTTGAGGTGAAAGGCTCCCCTCACTTCCTGGTATCATCAAATTATATTCTACTGTGGTCTGTGATTTCACAGTTAAGGCGGATTTGATGTTTTAACTGAGAAGTGGTTTCTGTCGTATCGGTACTAAATAGTTGCTAATGGTTGCTTCATGCTTGTTGTTGGTCTCGTATAGTAGCTTTGTGAATCCTGCTCGGGTTCTAAGCAGGGCCCGAATATTCTCCACATCTTTGTTGTGGTCTTCATCACCATGTCTCTCTTAGATGAGAAGTGACATCTAAACTGAAGAGTTTGTGATACGGTAAGGGGGGAAAAGACGCATGCATGTGACTGTGGTTTGCTGATATCGAGCTTAGCATGCTGACAATTTGTCCCCAAAAAGCTAAGGTTGTGGGCAAAGAGTTTCACAGGAGAACAGAGAGATAAGCTGTCGAGATTCAGGTCGACAGACCCAGTGGGGCCAAAAACAGACTTTGAGGAAGCATCGCTAAATTCGATACACAATTACTGCTTTAATTACTACTTTTCCTTTGAACTCATGTTGCCCACATGCTCGTATGATATGCGCTGGTTGTGTGTGTTTCAGTGACGCAGGATATTGAAAGGAAAAATGTAGTTTATTTACAACTTTGCTTGTTTTTCGGTTCCATAGAAAAGGGCGCATTAACACATTTTAACAGGGTTTCCTCCAACACTGCCCTCACGTGTAGTGAAGTTAACATGAAAGGAGAAAAACATTGCTCTCTTAGTACAGGCAGTCTGGTATCTATTTCATAGCACACTCACTGTTCAACTCAACAGCTGTGTGAGTGATGCATCTATCAGTATCCATGGTGATGGATGATTTTTTTCCAGTGCAGACCAGCATGTGGGACTTTGTGTGAAGTGTCACTCAGCTTAGGCCATAAAGTCTTTCAATGGTGAGGCTGGTCGGCTGGACAAGTTACCAAAACAATGGTGTGTTTCTTTGACAATGCACCTGCAATATATTGTGGAAAATTTTTTTTGAATTTTTTTAATGCTTCTATATGACTGGTCATTAAATAAAATATTGTATTTATTTTCAGATGTCATAGATTATTTTTATTCTAATGTAAGATAGCTGAATATCATGTGCTCTCTTAGATTTATTTAGTTGTGTCTTATAAAAATGTGACTCACTGTGATATAAATGTGCAGTATATGTGCATCTACTTGTGATACATCTGTCTCTGTCTGACAGCAAACCTCACATCTGATCCTGGTACATACTGTATATTCAGGGTATGTGCAAATTCCTACTGAATGTCACTGATGTCAGTCGAAACAGACTACATATTTTTTTGTGAAAACAAATACATATTCTGATAAACATCCAGGTTAACCCAATTGTGTAATTGTCCTGAGTGTAAAAGAATGTTATCATAAGTCAAGTCTCCTTCCTGTGTGTCTCTTCTGAGCACTATTAGCAAGCCCTTCATGACACGGGCTGGTCTTGTTCATTTGGCTATTAATAAATATGTGATATTTCGTCTGTGTTTCTGTTGAAATTTCAAATCCCAACACAGTTGCTGATTCAGCAATGAAATCATGAATTTGTTTATTTGTATAGCAGTCAAGCGGGAGATGGTTGTAAATAAAGATGTTTGGAGTAACGCAAAAAATAAATTCAGATTTTATTTACTGTACAAAACATGAATACCACCACCTATACTGGTACACACGGAACAAGTTTGTATACCTCTGATACTTAAAGCACATTTAGCTGATAATACAGTTTAATCATTAGGATTTGTCTTTTCCACCCACCATCTTGGTTCTGTACACCACGCCATAAGGGGGCGACAACACAGCAAATTAGGTGGATACCAACTACTATTTGTAAAAAGAAGAAGAACGCCCCAGGTAAAGTTTCCCACCGGTCCTATTTCACCGTTGCACACATTTGGAAAGTGCTGCGCAAGGAATACTCCAATAACCCCACAATATTACAGGTGAAACAACATATGAAAATATAACGCTATACGGAGACGTAACGTTACAGTGAGAACGTGACCAAAGCAGCGGGGGAAGCTGCCTGAGAAACAGAACCGTGCTACATGTTCTAGTTCTGTACCGCGGTGGTGCATCATGTGCTACATGTCAACTGACTGCAGTTAGCTCTGCTAGCTAAAGAGCAGTACAGGCACAGCTTTTTCATTATTTTTCTTTATTCAGTGTACTTCTCCGGGGCCGTCCTTTTTAAATAAACATGACTGTAAATATGGTAGAATGAGGCAGGAGGTTAGTTCTCGTCTGTAGTCCCTGGTCAGGTGTGAAGTTGGCAGCCTTAACATCAAGAAACACGTTTACAACAATATTAATGTTGTTTGTAGTACGAATAACTATATGCTCTTAACTATGGAGGCAGGCGGTAAGTCAAAGGCAGAAACATTCAACAAAATGTTGAGCTGTCAACTTCTCTCATGCTAACGTCGGGAGACAAGTACACATTTGGCGAGGCTGACAATACAACCTCGCTAGTTGAGCTACAATATTCTACGTGTGTCGCTAGCTAACGTTGCATTTAGGAATTCTGCTTTACGTAAGTACACGAACAAGTAACGTTCGCTAAACCATGCTCAATGCAAGATTATAATTCAGTGGCAGTAACTTTAGACACATGGGGGGAAGTCCATGTGTTGGTTGAAACCTGTAAACTAACTTAAAAACCAAGAAATGTATTTTTTTAAAGGAATGCTAAGTAAGCTAACCACACCTTATCAAAACATAGAGGGAATCAGTAGAGTAGATAGAATGCTAATGCTGGTGTTGGAAAGAGACGTTCAAGTGCCAGAGGGAAAATCCACAGACCCAAAAATTTCTGAGGTAGTAAAAGGTTGCACATTTAAATGCGCAATCCCTTATTTTTATCATCAGCTTTTATGTTTTGAAATTCAACACAGTTATTAGTTCACCTTCAAAACTTTCACAGCAAGCTGGGGTGGAACTACTGGGTGCCACAACAAAGTCCGGAAGTGTACTTTATTCACTTATTTTATTTATCTCCTTTGTCTGTCCATTATGTCTTTAATGATCTTTTTTTCCCCTCCTGGTCTGGCAAAGTCGACTGTGATGGCCAAGCTTCAGGGCTTCGAGTTCTGGAGGAAGACCCTGAAGGAGGCCCGCTTTGTGGTGGCACCCATGGTGGACCAGAGCGAGCTGGCCTGGCGCCTGCTGAGCCGCCGGCACGGCGCCCAGCTCTGCTACACCCCCATGCTGCATGCCCAGGTGTTCGTACGCGACGCCAACTACAGGAGGGAAAACCTCTACAATGAGGTGTGTGAGGAGGACAGACCTCTCATCACACAGGTGAGCATCCACACGGGCAAGGTCAACATACTACTTTTAAAGGAGTAACTTTGGTATTTTTCAACTTGGGCCCTATTTTCCCAAGTAAATTGTCTAACATCTGCTGCTGCTAAACAGGCTTTAATGTAATCAATCGAGGCAACTCCTTACCGTCAATGTTCGTCCACTAAAAGTGTTCGTTTTTGCCACTGACAGACTGATATTGTTATTATAAGTGTCTGACTACATTATGGAAAGAACCCTACAGGGAAATAAAATGTTTTTCTTTACGTTTCGCTTGATCTGGCCTGTTTGTTCTGGTATCTAACTAAGTCTCGCTCTGAGAAGTCTCGTTCTGATATATTGCGTCGCATCCACATTGTGGAATAAATATCCAGCCATGACATTGAAAATCTTTTAGAAAACACGAAGATACCGCTTTCTGCATCCCGACACAACAAACTCTGACAACACCGGCACTCCTCTCTCCAACTGTCACTCATGTTTCTACCAGGTGGCAACCTCTGGTTCTGTAAAGCGAGGCCTTAAACTTGCATTCTATGTAATGGCCAGCAGGGGGCGACTCAAAAAAGAAGTCGGAGTGTATGGAAGTCTATGAGAAAATGACATCAGTAAACATGAGTTCATGGTCTCAATCTCTAGTTTCACAGTTTCTTCAATACAGCATGATGTTCATTTAGTAAATTATGGTCCATTTAGAGTCAAATAAACCATAAAGCAGGGTATGCTTTAGGGCGGGATTACCTTCGGATTAATCGGTGTGTGAATGGGTGAATGATGACATGATTAAAGCACTTTGAGTGGTCGGAAGACTAAAAAAACACCATACAAGCTCAACCATATACCATTCTAATAATCTGAGCCTGTCGGTGGCCCGAGCGATTACATCGCAGCTTGTTGATCGGCTGCTGCGTTTTCTCTCAATACTGGACCAATTCAAAAACTGTTGTCCCCGTTAGTCACTTAGACACAAAAACATTGGCAAAAAAAAAAAGATTTAAAAATCCCGGAGTTACCCGTTGACATGGCTCCTCATGTAATACCAGTAAGTCTCAGTGTTGCTCTCCCTGTGTGTCAGTTCTGTGCCAACGATCCGGAGGTGTTCCTTCAGGCCGCTCTGCTGGCTCAGAACTACTGCGATGCCATCGACCTCAACCTGGGCTGTCCGCAGATGATCGCTAAGAGAGGTACGCACAGTTCACACCGAAATGAACCCCCCCGAATACGGACATAGGCGACTCCTGGTGGTTGTGTCAGAGAAGACACTGACCTACATGCAGACCGAGCGAAACGAAAACTAAACCTGTCTTGATGCTCCTTTCTCAGGGCACTACGGAGTTTTCCTACAAGACGAGTGGGAGCTGTTAGAGAAAATGGGTAAGTGTGCCTTTAATTGATTGTAGGACTCTGGGATGAGCTGTGTCAGAATGTACCAGCGTAGTGCCGCTTGTCGGCTAACATCCCCCCTCTTTATGTCACAGTCAGGTTGGCACACGAAAAGCTCTCGGTGCCCATCACATGCAAGATCCGTGTGTTCAAGGAGCTGGAGAGGACGGTCCGCTACGCCCAGATGCTGGAGAAAGCTGGGTGTCAGGTGTGATCAATGCGCAAACAGTGGTTGATGAACTGTCCTTTTTAGAAATGTAAAATATGGAGCTTGTTCATATTTATCTGTAAAATCTGCCAGTTTCAGGAAGCATTAGAAAGGTGTCAAACTAGTCCTGAATTTTGTCTTTGTCAAATCTCTTCCCAGCTGCTGACGGTGCACGGCCGAACCAAAGACCAGAAAGGGACCGTGACGGGCATCGCTAACTGGGAGCACATCATGGCAGTACGGTGAGCTGCCATCACCCTGTTTCACTAATCTGGAACGTCAACATTTGACCAACATTTGACCAGCCCTCCCGATGGTATCAAACTAATGATTTAGTCGGCTCACAGTGCTTAAAGGGACATTCGCCCCTAAATCAAAAACACATATTTTTTTCTCCTCTTGCCTGTAGCGCTGGTCATCAATCTAGATTGTTTTGGTGCGAGTTGCCGAGTGTTGGAGTTATGTATGGTTGAAAGGAAATAATTCCTCTGTGAAACTGCTCACAACAAGGTCTGGTGGATTATCTTGAGTAACAGTCATGATTTCTGGAAAGAGACATCGCTGTTGAGTTTTTCAAATGTATTGTAAGCCGAGTGCCGTATAGTGCCGTTCTAATTGAGAGAAGGCAGTCATTGTCCAAAACCAGGCAACTCGCTCCAAAACAATCTAGATTCATAAGTAGCACTACAGGTAAGATGTAAAAATATGTGAACTGTCCCTTTTAATGTCTGCCTCATCCTGGAATAATCTTTTCATGAACTGTTTGGTGTGTTTTTTTTTTTTTTGCTGCAGGAAGGCAGTAAATATTCCAGTGTTTGCAAACGGCAACATTCAGCACCTGAGCGATGTGGAGCGCTGCATTCAGGAGACGGGAGTGGAGGGAGTCATGAGTGCAGGTCTACAACGTCTCATTACACACTGTTTTAGTTCAGGGGTGTTAATGGATGATACCTAATGTACATTCGTGCTCAGGATATACACTGTTTTGAAACTTATGTATTATTATTTTCTTTAGAGGGGAACCTCCACAACCCGGCGCTGTTTGAAGGAAGCAGCCCTCCCGTGTGGGAGATGGCGGAGGAATATCTGGAGGTAGTGAAGCAGCACCCCCCCTGCACTCTGTCCTATGTACGAGCACACCTCTTCAAGCTGTGGCACCACACGTATGTATCTCTCTCTGTATGTATGTATGGATGTGTGTGTGTGCATATGCCGATACCTGTACCGTAACACCTTGAATAGAAAACTATGTTCTCCATGCTATTAGTCCAAGATAGATAACATAGCACTCATCCTTATATTATACTAATAACACATTTCATTTAAACAGCACACGCAGTGTTTCAAATACACAAAACAAAATCTCAAGGTGCTTCGCATACAATACGAACCTTGCAATTAAAGTGGTTGAAATAGGATAAATAAGTGTATATACCAAATATTTCAATACCCAAGTTTAAAGCCGATTCCACAAGCATTCTCCCATGCTTGTCAGCTTTGTCCGTGGCACAACGGGGAGGTTTGAAACATGAATTACCCATTAAAGTCAGAATCCTTAGATTTCAGCCCTGGTTGATTTGGCAACAACCCTCCCTCCCTCCCTTGCGGTTTCTGTGGCAACAGCAAGTGCGCTCCAGTACTACTGCAAACACTCCTTGAGCAGCTACAGCAGAAGAGCAACCAGTTCATCTGTTCACAGTGAAACATACACCGTGTCCCTGTGGCTGCCTCACCAGTTGAGTGCTTTGAACGGGAATTATCAGCAGTAGGAAATGTCCGGTTAGCATCAGGCGGAAATCTCCGGTTCTGCATTGGTGAAGCCAATGCAGAAGTGTCTTAAAACTTGTATTCTCTCTACTGACCAGCAGGGGGTGACTCCTCTGTTTGCAAAAAGAAGTCTGGTTGTATAGAAGTCTATGAGAAAATTACTCTACTTCTCACTTGATTTATTCCCTCAGTAAACATGAGTTTATGGTCTTAATCTCTAGTTTTAAGTCTTCTTCAATACAGCATGATGTTTATTTTGGTAAATTATGATCCATTTAGAGTCAAATAGACCATAAAGATGAGTATGCTATAGGGCGGGCTTGCTGTGATTGACAGGTCGTTGCCACATCCAATCAATTTCAGCAAACATCCCAGTATGATTTAATGCAAAACAATTAAGGTATGAAATGCGTATTACTACTTTGCAGTTAAATATTTAATGTTTATTCTAACATGAAAAAAAGCAGTAAATAACGCACATGATTGGCTAAATTGTATGTCACTCATTTATATCTTTAATCAGCATTAAAGCATCATTGGCTAAACTGCTTCATAGACCCGCCTCTTTGGGGCAGATTGCGCGTGCGTGCGTGCGTGCGTGCGTGCGCGCGCGCGCTGCCGGCTCACAGATGGAAACCATGAGTGTGAATACAGATCGCGAGGAGTAGTATAAATCTCAGTCAGCGATTATTGACTTTAAGTGTTAGAGTAAATTTAACGTGTTCTGTGAAGCATAGAATATAGTCGGGGTCGGCGATCTCAGAGCGAGGGCCGGTTAGTAATGGAGGTAGGCCGGTATTGGACCACCCCGTTTGGACCGGCCCAAAACCCCGTCGGCCTACCGGGGAATCCCCGGTATCCCCTATGGCCAGCCCGCCCCTGGGTCATTGCCGCTATCAGAGATGTATACGGCGTCTCTGTCACTCCTCATTCCAAATATAATCACTTCCGCTCATCGGCTGCAAAAAAGCTAAGATGGCGACGGCAAAATCACCGAATTCAAGGCTTCATAACATCAGTCCACAAACCAATGGGTGACATCACGATGACTATGTCCACATCTTATATACAGTCTATGGTTAGCATGAGAGGCGTGGAAATATCTTTTGTCCTAAGACCTGAACTATTCTGCATCCATCAGGAGTTTGGTTTCATTTCAGCTCTGTGTGAGTCTTGACTGCATTTCGCTGACATTTACTGTTGCGCTTGTTTCTCTCTCCTCTGATGTCTGCGTTTCACTTACTGTGCTGTGCGGAGAGAGGAATGCTGCAGAGAGGCGGCGTTCCGCTAACTGGTCGAGCTCGCTACCAATATTAGCCGCTCTGTTTTGACAATGAAATACAACCGTGGTGCTGTTCTGTTGGGAGTTTCACGTGTGTGTGTGTGTATATATACATACAGTTGTGTGAAAAAGTGTTTGCCACCCTTAGCAGCAACAACTGCAATCAAGCGTTTGCGATAACTGGCAATGAGTCTTTTACAGCGCTGGAGAGGAATTTTGGCCCACTCATCTTTGCAGAATTGTTGTAATTCAGCCACACTGGAGGGTATTCGAGCATGAACCGCCTTTTTAAGGTCATGCCACAGCATCTCAATCGGATTCAGGTCGGGACTTTGACTAGGCCACTCCAAAGTCTGCATTTTGTTTTTCTTAAGCCATTCAGAGGTGGACTTGCTGGTGTGTTTTGGATCATTGTCCTGCTGCAGAACCCGAGTGCGCTTCAGCTTGAGGTCACGAACAGATGGCCGGACATTCTCCTTCAGGATTTGTTGGTAGACAGCAGAATTCATGGTTCCATTTACCACAGCAAGTCTTCCAGGTCCTGAAGCAGCAAAACCGCCCCAGACCATCACACTACCACCACCATATTTTACTGTTGGTATGATGTTCCTTTTCTGAAATGCCGTGTTACTTTTACGGCAGATGTAATGGGACATACACCTTCCAAAAAGTTCAACTTTTGTCTCGTCAGTCCACAGAGTATTTTCCCAAAAGTCTTGGGGATCATCAAGATGTTTTCTGGCAAAACTGAGACGAGCCTTTATGTTCTTTTTGCTCAGCAGTGGTTTTCGTCTTGGAACTCTGCCATGCAGGCCATTTTTGCCCAGTCTCTTTCTTATGGTAGAGTCATGAACACTGACCTTAATTGAGGCAAGTGAGGCCTGCAGTTCTTTGGATGTAGTTCTGGGGTCTTTTGTAACCTCTTGGATGAGTCGTCGCTGCGCTCTTGGGGTAATGTTGGTCGGCCGGCCACTCCTGGGAAGGTTCACCACTGTTCCATGTTTTCGCCATTTGTGGATAATGGCTCTCACTGTGGTTCGCTGGAGTCCCAAAGCTTTAGAAATGGCTTTGTAACCTTTTCCAGACTGATAGATCTCAATTACTTTTTTTCTCATTTGTTCCTGAATTTCTTTGGATCGCAGCATGATGTCTAGCTTTTGAGGATCTTTTGGTCTACCTCACTTTGTCAGGCAGGTCCTATTTAAGTGATTTCTTGATTGAGAACAGGTGTGGCAGTAATCAGGCCTGGGTGTGGCTAGAGAAATTGAACTCAGCTTTCCAAAGATGTGATAAACCACAGTTAATTTATGTTTTAACGGGGGGGGGGCAGCAATCACTTTTTCACACAGGGCCATGTAGGTTTGGATTTTTTTTTCCCCTTAATAATAAAAACCTTCATTTAAAAACTGCATTTTGTGTTTACTTGTGTTATCTTTGTCTAATATTTAAATTTGTTTGATGATCTGAAACATTTAAGTGTGACAAACATGCAAAGAAATCAGGAAGGGGGCAAACACTTTTTCACACAACTGTATATATGTTATGTATCTTAATATCTCTTAAGCTTGTGTTAACCTTATTTAAGGCATCTAAAGGAGGCAACCTTTGCAAATGCAATAATGCGGACTCATTTTCCCGTTTTATGGACTCATTCCTGCAGCACTCTTTAACTACTATGGGTGTTCACAGACTTTTGGCCATGTAGTGCCAGATATATGCTGACAATTTAATGACAAGTCTCTCAATGTGTTGATCCTTATGAGGCTTTTCATCTGGGTTATTTTGTCCAGGGCCCAGTTCAGAGTCTGCATTTTTCCTTTTCAAATATTTCTCCATCGCTGTTCGTCTCGTCACCGCAACCTCTCCCGCGCGTCATTTCATTCTACTGTCCTACATGAACACGGTCATTACTGCGCTACCTACTGCCACCCACTGGCATGGAAGAGTATTTATTACTTAGCCAGCCACTATATTGCAGCTCAGACGCGCAACAACTAAATAATACATTTTTGGACTCATTAAGTGAAATTGGACATTTTCCCACGGCACACCTGATGATCTCTCATGGCACACTGGTGTGCCGCGGCACAGCGGTTGAAAATCACTGATGTAGTGTATGGACTGTATTTTGGGAACACATCTAACATTTCTGATGAATTTGAATTGAGAGATTTGTTACCTTGTGTGTGTGTGCAGGCTACAGATCCACCAGGACCTGAGAGAGGAGCTGGCCAAGGTGAAGACCATCGAGGGTTTGGCCGGTGTCAGCAAACAGCTGAGGCTGCGCTGCCAGGTAACTGACACAGCAGTTAAAAAACGATCCACTGAGGAAGCGGAGACGGTGAATTCTGTAGTTCCGTAGCTAAATTCTCAGCAACAGCGGAGGGAGAAAGAGGAGGAAGAGGTAGACTTTGAGCTGCTCCAAATAATCCCTATTGCATATGGCTTTTTTTTTGTTTTATAAAACCCAGATATTGGTCTGTACTCTGTGGTGGACGGACAGCAGTACCACAATAACGCAATGCTCGAACAATAAGAGGAGTCCTGTATTGTCTGCCTCATCTGACATAAATAACGCCTCTAGTAACATCGAAAGAAACTTTTATAACACATTTATAAAATACATTAAGGTTAAAGGTCCAGTGTGTAGGATTTAGGGGAATCTAATAGCTGGGATTGAATATAATACTCATAATTACTGCCCACACTGCTTCAGCTGATTTTGATGTTTTCTCCTCTGCCTCTTTCCTGCCAATGCGGTTTTTAGACACCAGTGTGTGATTCTGAATTCTTCAAATCTCCTCTGTAGTCTTTCAAGTAGGAAACAATCCTGTATCTGTGGCCGTCGCAGGACTGTAAGAAGCCTGTCCAATCATTTCATTCGGCCCAAATGTAACGATCCGACGGGCTACCTGTCTCTTTGTGCATATTCTCTCCGCACTCATTGCTCGTCACCAAAGTATTCCACAAGCTTCTATCTTGACAGCTGTCAGTGCTAACAATAGCCATGCTCGTTATTCGTTCATTATGTTCGTTATTACATCATGATGATACATTTTGGGGAGTGGCCTCGGGGGGAGGCCTAAAGGGCCCAGCTGTCAGTGTGGCTGGCTTTTCGCTAGAATTAGCCATTTTCAATTATAGTGCTGCTAGCTGCTCTCATTGGAAATGGAGTTGGCAACAATGGCCTCAGTTTTACAATTGTATCATCTTGCTAGCTTCTCCAGGTTACCAACCCTAGCTTTCAGTTAGATTCATTATTTCCGTCGTCGTCGTTTGATTTGATGCCCTCTCGGTCTGCTTTTGGCCATTTGTGTCCTCAAAAAAATAAATTGTCAACACCAAAGGCCAAGTGGCCTCGCCACTAAAATGATGAAATACCAGGACGGCATAACAATGTTTTCATTCGTGTATAATCACTTGAAACTAGGAATTGTTGGGCCCTTCATATCTACATAGGGAGCGGGTCCTCTTCAGAGTGCGCCATCTTGCTCCGCCATGTTTCTACAGCAGCCCGTAGTACCACGAGTTCAGGCACAAGGCTAAACTTTTAGAGAGACGGAGAGAAAATGTTGCTAATCGTTTAGCTTTTTTGCTCACTGTACTCGTGAGCTAGCTAGCTGCGGTTAGCGGAAGGCTAATCTGTTAGCAACATTTTTCTGAAAACGCTTGACATTGTTAGACTCTTCCTTTAGCCACTTTTTCTAAAGAATATTCCGCTGTTGAATCCGTCTTTAACCATCTGAAGAGACGAGCATGCACCTGCAACGGCCAATGGGAACTAAATGAGCATCAACGATCTAGCTTATCAGAGTGACATAGAGCCTTTTAATGAGTGTTACTGGGACAACCAGGCATGGATGTATTGCTGATGGACAAAATATACATAGTTCCAGGGTGATGGAGAATTGTTGCAGCTGTACCGTATGTGTGTCTGTGCAGGAGGAGATTGCCAGAGGAAAGGACGCGGAGGAGAAGAAGGGCGGCCTGCCGTTCCCCCACTGGATCTGCCAGCCGTATGTCAGACCAGCGTGAGTCACCATCTTTTGTTGTTTTTGATTTTTGCTCTATATGATCTTTTCACTTTCATACAGTGAGCAGTGAGCTGCAGTCTCACTGCTGGCAGAAAAAAATAAAAAAGTGAAGAAGAATCGTGAGCACCAGTCAAAAGTTCTCTAATCTTACTGGCTGTTCTATACAGGCCAAAGGAGCCAGTCACCAACGGCAACAGCCAGGGCCCAGAGGTGAAGAAGGCGGTGTGTCAGAAGAGGGCGCTGGAGGACTCGGACGCGACGGCCGACACGCTCTCCAAAAACAAGCAGAAGAAGAGATCCCGAAACCCCCACAAGAATTTCTGTCCCGAGCACAAGCGTGAGTCCGAACCGTCGCGTTCCCCTCAGACTGCCCAGTTCCTCTTTGAAACGAGTAGAATGCTTAAAAACAGTGTCCCTCTTCTCTCCCCCCACAGCCAAGTACATCAAGTGTGAGCAGTGTGGGAACCCAAAGGTCAGTGTGTGTTCGCATCGAAGACGTTGTGATCTCTGCGTGACATTCTGTGCATGTTGCCTTCAGCTTTGTTCAGCTTAACCGAAGAATCAGGAGGACATTTCCAGAGCGTTGGTTTGATCTCCAGCAGCTAATGCGGTTTATTTTGGTCCGCAGGGAAACAAATGTGTCTTCAACCTGTGTCGAGGCTGCTGTAAGAAGAAGGCCTTCAGGGAGGTGGCCGACTGCCCAAGTCAGTACATGCAGTGAACACTGTCACTGTGAACATTTTTTTAATTTTATTTTAAATCTAAATCAACTTCACAGTACGAACACTTGAAAAGCCCCCATTTAAATCATTAGGTCCTTAAAGTTGTTAAATGCAGTAATAGCTAAATCCAAAGAGTTATTTTCCGTCCTTCGTTAATATGAATGACAACGGATGATTTCAACTGAATTTTATACTCTGAAGTCAACGTTCATAGGAATGAACAGGGCCCCTCCTGCAACGCTGTCTTCAGTTTTCTTTCTGTATTCATCGAGCTTACATGTCATCCATCTTTATTTACAGTCTGTGGTCCAGACCAGTGCAAAAACTAAAGATGTATTTAGCTTTGTTCAATAGAAATAATCCAACCTTCGTTTGACAGGCCACGGGTTGAGGTTCAAAACCAGGGCAGAGAAACAGAAAGCTGAGGAGGACGGGAGGAAGGAGGACGGGAGGAAGGAGGACGGGAGAAAGGAGGACGAGAGGAAGGAGGGCTGTGCGACAGAGATGGAGAGAAGCAGCAGCTCTCCTCAGCCCCCCTCAGATCCAAGTACAGAGCTGCAGGTGCAGTCCGAGACACAGCTCCCACTATGAGCGGGACTAAGGCCGTCTCTACATGCACAAACAACACTCCTGTTAATACAGCACTCGGCTGTCGCATGTCAAAGAGTCCCACCTGGGTGAGCCTAAGCCGTTTTCAGGTCATTTCTCTGACCACAAGTTCATTTTAAACATTTTGAACAGCTGCTAAGCAACCTCGGCATGGAAGAGACTCTGATGGACACTGATCAGCAGACCAAAACCATAAAGAAACAAAAACTTTTTTTTATGTGATGTGGATTCGTTTGGGATTTTTTTTTTTCCTTTTTTCCTGATGGGACAGTCTGGAAGACTTTCTCAACTCATTCTGGCATCTTTTATTTTTAAGACAAAGATTTTACGAAGAGTTCCAACATCATTTAGCCAAATTTGTTACTGAGGTGAAGTAAAGTTTGTCTGCAGTGCATTGACGTGTATGTGCCTTTTTAGATGAGAAGTACCGCTGCCTATCCAGAGATGAACTTGAAAAAGTGGAGAGATCAAGGTGGTGATTTCACGGTCTATTTAAAGGTGCTACCTGGGTAATCGTGCATGCACTGGGTTTTTTTCTCCCCTGTATATCAAAATGATTTCTGTGTTTAGCCTAGCTTAGCACAAATACTAGAAGCTAGCCTAGCTCTATCAAAAGAGATGTGTTGACTAGCTTACTTGCTAACAAGATATTTTCTTTGCTTTAATGGAGGATAGCTGTTCTATTGTGATTCTAGTCTTTGTGCTAAGCTAGCCTCTCACCTCACTTAAAGCACCCGGAAAACTAGAAGTGTTTCTCTGACTATTTTGTTTTGAATATTTAATGTCACAAAGTTGGTGACAAAATCATCTTTAGGTATTATTAACTAAACTCTGAAACTCAGCTGATCTGCTTCATCAGGACAAGTGCGGGTGTGATTTTATGTTGATAATCCTGATTGGTGCACAGATGTTGGTGACATCACGGTTTGTCAGTTTAGACCCGCCTTCGTTAAACCAGCGAAAGAGGCACAGACGAAAACAGAAAAAACAGGAAGCAACTGTTTTCAGAGCCTTTAAAACTGCAGTTGCTAACCTTTATTAAGATCACTTTTTTCATATTTGCTCAAACTGTCACTATATCCTGACAGTATTACAGGAGACAATCTGTGGAAAAAAAAAAAAAATATGTTCCACTGATTTCTATTTTTTAGTGCTCCTAATGGATTCCACCAGGCTGTAAGGAAAACAACCAATCGGAGGCGAGGAGTCTTTAGGGCAGCTGTCAATCACAGCTCGTGCAGCTCTTAGACACCAATCAAACTGTCAAAACTTGGCAGCGCTGATCAAACATGAATTTGAGTTTACATGCAAGGGTAGGATTTGTGAATGCTAGCGGTTAGCACTAGCTAAGTGCATGCGTGCGATTAGCATAGGCGATTCACAGGTTAATTGAAAAGGTAATAAATACTCCTCACAAATACCAAAGATACTCTAACAAAATGACGTGGTTGGTGGGCGTGTTTCAACAGAGCGGCCTTTTCAATTGTTTGACAGTTTGATCAGATTTCACGAGCAGTGATTGCTAGCTGTGTTAGCGGCTCCTCTGCTCTGATTGGCTGATTTTCTTCAGGCCCAGTGGAATCTTGCAAATGCCATTAGGAGAACTAAAAGGAGGCAGAGGAACCTATATTTTATCACAGATCATCTGTCTCATGAAGTGTGTTGGTTTGGGTTTAACTCTTGTCTAAAGTCAGGATGAAATGCAGTGAGAATTCACCTCACATGGGTTTCATCAAAAATAATTCTCAGTCGTGACACTATAATTGATGCTTTAAAGCTTTAATGCAAAGATAAAGAAACCAGAGTGCATGTTAACTGTAATAAAGGTACAATGGGGACAGAGTACAACTCAGGGGAGAAGCGATAAAAGAGTAAAGCGGGTCTTCAGCTTCTTGGAAGTTTACATCTCAGTCGGAGGCTTCCCCGCCATACTTGATGTGGTGGTCGATGTAGCTCACAAACTTGGACACTTGGGTGTAGACGCCAGGGTGGCCTCGGAGACCACAATCGCCGTGACTCATGATGCCCACCTGCACGTAGTCGCTGCCTGCAAGACACACCAGCGGGCCGCCATAGTCCCCCTTTGGAAGCACAAAGAATAACACATTGTGTAAGTGGTTCCACTTTGCATTGTTCTTTCCTTATTTGAACTTGTTGAGTTGACGCACAGCAGATACATGTGGTCGTTTTGGAGGAAATGGTCAGTAGTTGGGACATGAGACATTTTAATCATTTTCAGTGGTGGAAGAACTACTGGGATAGGAGAGTAACTAAACCCCAGAGTTTTTGCTGAAGCGCTCATACCCTGGAAATCCAAAATATGCCTCAAGAATGTGAAAAAACTTTGGCTTGGAGGAGAGCCAGGGTGTGAAATTATGCCAACAGCACATTACACGTACAGCACATACATATTATGTATGCATTATTAGATTGTGATTACTGATTCATCAATGCATAAGTATCATTTTACTGTTGCGGTGGAGCTTCTTTTAACTAGTAACTAACAGTGGTGTATAAAGTACCCAAAAGCCATACTTGAGTAAAAGTAAAGATACCTTACTGGAAAACTACTCCAGTAAAAGTCACCTATTAGAATACTACTTGAGTAAAAGTCTTAAAGTATCTGATATTTACTGTACTTGAGTATCAAAAGTAATTTTCTGATATTAAATGTACTTAAGTATTGAAAGTAAAAGTACAAGTAAATGCTGTTAATAAAAAAGCAAAGGGTCAGAATTATGAAGTTTATTATTTTAAGTGCTGTGGCACCAGGACCAAGGACATGGAGTTGTGTTGAACATAATTGTGTTGGCTGTGATCCATCCAGGAGCAACAATGTTCAACATAATATATTGTACATAAGTATACTTTTGCATCTACTATGAACTTATAATTCTCCGAAAAGCAATATGACACTATGAAGGAGTTGTAACAGTGCGTTGATAAGTATGCTCATTCCGACTAGAGGATGTAGAGGGCAAATGCATCATATTGTGTTCAGCAAAACATATCCACTTGATGCATCAGGTCAGTGTTGTGAGAAAGGACACCTGCCTTGTAAACTCCTGTGGGCCTGATTTGAACACAATAGGCAAAGGTTTTGCTCAAGCTGAATCTGCAATTGGGCGACTGCTACCATCATAACTCCATCTGATCATCCACAAAATGACTCAAATATCAAAACATGATCAATACTAAAGCAGCACCGAAAGTAACAACCCAGTCATTACTGGAAACTGAAAAATGTCCTGTTCATCTTCAAAAGAAGTTGGTTTTCAAAATTGCGAGAATTCAGCCTCGCTCTTCTTGGGCTGAAGACTAGTCCTGCGATGCTAACCAGCCTTTCACAGGCCGCTGAGGCAGGTAGAGGTGTGTTCAGCTTCACACACAGTTTGCGCACAGCTGGGAAGGATTCCCCTAATGCTCGCGGCTCCTGTCAACCCTATGGTGTGGTGGCTAGCTAACGTTAAGTTAGCTAACGTTAGCCAACTAGTGCTGCAATGATTATAGCTAAGATGACTCAAATCAACAAAATCTCACAACTGTCAACACTTCCTCAGCTCACTAACTCGCTAGCGATCCACGGGTGTTGGTCTTCGTCACCACCGTCGTTTGTTGCGGGAGTAGCAGGTGCTTCCGTCATGAAATCAGTCATCGTAGAGTGGAATTATATTAATGTAGTCGCTTGCTAGCTATAGCATCCTGGGCATCACTGGGAATCAAAACACCGCGGCTTTGAGAGCACTTGTTTTGCGCATTAACGTGATTAACCAACGATTTAACTTGCAAGCTAGGACCACTGATTGACCAAACCTGCTTGCTTGCAGTCTCTGTTCCACCACAGTCCCCGACACTGATCTCATGATTCATTTTTTTCTAAAGATAGATTTGATTTTGTAGCGAGTAACGAAGGTTTCAGGGGAAATCTATCGGAGTAAAAGTATCAGTTTTCTTTGCAAAATGTAGTGAAGTAAAAGTAAAAGTCAACAGAAATATAAGTAGTAAAGTACAGATATCCAAAAAAACGACTCAAGTACAGTAACGAAGTATTTCTACTTCGTTACTGTACACCACTGGTAACTAATAGTGCCGTCTTCCCAACCGTTAGGGCTCAAACCCCCCTTCACACAGTTGAATATTTCAACTGACTTTAATTAATAGTAGAACTCACTTTGCAGGCGTCCTTTCCATCCACGCCCCCTGCACACAGCATGCCATCAGTCAGCTCAGGTCTCTTGGCCTTACATTCACTGATGGAAATCTTCAGCTGCTGAAGGGTTTCTGGAATCGGCAGTGGAGCTGCATAGATATATATACACACACACACACACACACACACACACACACACACACACACAGTGAGAATAAGTGTGGAGCAGGAGGCGATGGTTTATGATCGATTAGCGACCGAAGTAAGGCCGACATTTACGGCTGGATGTATTCCTGCTGAAGGAATTGAAAGAACCAAGATCATCCTGTTGGTTAACTGAGCCTTGAGAGAAGAGAGCATACCATTTTGTGTTACGACACATTTAAAGAAAAATAAATCATATATTAGCTCTATTTATATATATCATATATTAACAAGGTATTTCGCCATAAAGGCCCTGCACACCCGCACAGTGTTTTCATACATTTGATTATTAGGGTTTTTATTAGGATGGTCGTGTTAACTACTAAAATTGTGGCAAAACTTATAGGAGAGTGAGGGATATAACTATAATCTTAATATTAATAATAATACAAATACTTTATTTAAATAGTTATTATGAAGCTCAGTCTGTGCCTCTAAAGCTCAATAACGCGTCAAGTGTTTTTTTTATCGAACTTGCATTAACATTTTTTTTATAGAACTTATAGTACAATTATTTAATTCAGGAATTAGTATGACCGATATTTTTTACAACATTTTGTACACCCTGCAGTACTCCAAGGTACCCCTTGGCTAAGTAGTACTCTCATTTTGAGAAACTGGTACGCCAGAATTTAAAACAACTTTTTAAAAGAAGAATCATATCGGACACATTATTATTCAAAGCAGAATATATATTTATGTCTTGTAGGGGATGAGAAGAAGATGATTTATTTGGACAAAAACGAAAAAAAAAGGTCAAAACTATCTGAGGACTTCAGGAAGTAGTCACGACCATCAAACCGCAACTTGCTGCTCTTAGGCATAATGCTTTGTGCCGTTGTGTTTATGAGCAGTTGTTGATTACCGGAGATGTCTCCTTGAAAGAACATTTAAATTAAAAAAATATTATTTTTTTCAACTCATGAGCTCAGTATTTCTAAATCCTGTTTAGAAGCCCATTTGTGTCACACTGATCTGCAGGGTCACACACACGAAGCCATCCATGAATCTACAATTCATTGGTGTGTTAGTATTCATTGGTCCTCATACAGTGTGTCCACCTTATATGCTGCTTCATGTGCAAAACTCACTATCTCTCTTAATCTCCCCCCAGCCGGTGATCCAACACTGGGACGATGAAGAGAAGGTGGCGTCAGTGCGGGGCAGACTCACTGCCTTGACCTTGTTTGACATTGTCACCGGGTTCTTCAGCTGTATCATAGCGAGGTCGTTCACGTAGCCACCGCTGAAGGACCGGTAGTCGGGGTGGATGATGAATCTCTTCACGCCCATGTAATCAGCGGACGGCTCTCGCAGTTTGTGTGAGCCCACCCAAATCATTGATCTCTCCCGGTTAGGCTTCGGATTTCTGCCAACACAAACACACACATTTATGGATCCCCCCCTCTTATTACCGGTAAAAAACACAGTATTCTAACATGCGGGTCGGTTCGGGGACATACAAACATTGCCTGCTTTTGCTTCATATTATTAACAGACGAGAGTGATGAGGTGTTGCGCTGTAATGTGGATGCTGCAATTCATTTCAGATCAAGGGTGGAACTTTTTTGTTGTTGTTTATTTTCAGAATCTATATATTCCCTACAAGATATCAACATGGTTACAAGTCCTTTTATTATATTTTACATAATATTCTAACGTTCAAAGATTTATTTATAGATTAGACAACAGTACTTTTTATGAGTTTGTTTGTCATGAATTGTATTAAAATGTCCAAATTGAGAATGAGTAGATTTGAATAAATGAATTAAAATGTAGTGGTCTTGATACACCGAGGTGCCTGTAACGTGCTCACTACTACAGAAGATGTTGAAGGATGCAGCATGAGTGTATTATGAGCGTAGCAACTCATAATGTAATAAATGCTCATAATCAGCACAAGCACATAATGTAATATCAGTTTTGCGTGTAATACAATAAGTTAATACATTAAGAGAAAATGATTACATCATAAACTAGGCAAAAAGATTTTTTTGAATAATGTAATAAATTCAGCTCATAGTGTAATATTTATATTATATATATGTAATATTTATATTATATATATATATATATATA